CTGCATCATACATAAAATCATGCCCTTTTAACTACGTTGGAGTAAAAATTTTTTCTATCGAGTTTCAATGTCCATATGTGATAAAATTAGTACTCATTGTTAAAAAAAAAAAAAATGTATATTTGTATTTGGAGCTTAAAGGAAATTGGGATAACTAAATGAAAACCCAAATTTATTATCGTATAAATCGTTTATTAAAGAAAAAAAAACCAGTCTATCACCATATTTTTTAAATATTATTTATTCAGTTTTTTACTTGTTTTTTTATTTTTAGCTCTTCGTTCAGATCACATACCCATATCAAGTATTCACCGATATAAAATTTAAAGGTTGCATGTTTAATAACAAAACTGAAAAATTGTAATAAGAAAGCCTTAAAAAATAGTTTCATAAAATATTCAATGATACAACTATAATATACGATCTTTAAATAATACCTTCAGCATAACTGAAAAAAAAAAACTACAGTAGAAAAAAAATGTAGCATCAAATCTGCAAGTTAATCTTATCAAATACTTTTGGCTCATAATAGTTAAGTAACATACACACACTTGGCAAATAATGAAAAAATGTTTTCCCTTGACTGTCGATTAATACCACTTTTCTAACAGAATATCAAAGGAGTACAAAATACAAAGATCAAAAAAGTTTGTAAGAGCTTCATTTTTCTGAGATCGGAAATAAGCGGACGAAATGAGAGAGGAGAAGAGGACACACACAAAAAAAAAAAAAAAGGATCAAGTCGCTGTCGGAAAGAGAGTCCTATTTATCCCACACATAAATCCCCTAACACGAAACCAATAACGCCATGGTAGTAGTGGCGTAGAAGCAGAAGATTTCTCAGTGAGTTGGAGTCAGTTCCTCTTCCGTTTCAAAACTTTGGCGAAGTGGTGTGCAAAAGAAGAAAATGGGGAAAAAGTTATTGTGGCACTTACGCGAGTTTGAAGAGAGAAAAAAAATGTAAGGGTAATACAGTCACATATACGGTTACGACAGTCAAGCTATGTATATGAAAAAAAATGAATGAGACAGAAAACGATAAGACCAGAGTTATGTGGATCTCTATGTTAGGCCTAACACTGAGAAAACAAATCGTACTGTTCTAGCTATGAAGATGCAGCTGCAGTGCCTGTACGGAGGAAATGACATGAGCACAATATTATGCACTTCCGACAGGTGTGAAGTCAGAGCCAATTATTATAGAGGCATTTCTTCTTACATGTACCCCATTCATCTTATGCAACACGTGGTGCAATTTCAGCATTGCTTCACAGCTGAAATAGTTTGATTTTTGCTCTTAGTATGATAGTTAATTGATCCAACTATATTTTTAATCCAACTTATAATATATGAGTCGATTTTTTACTGTGTAAAAAGATATAAAAATATTGTACAGCGACCAATAAGTTTAAAATTTGTACTTAAAAAACAGCTTGAAATTTCCGGAATGAGGACTTTGAAATTCAATACTTTGGAGCTTAAAATTATTTTCTTTCTTAGTAACGGCAAAAATGTTAAAAGTTGGTATTTGATACCTTATTAAAGTTCATAAATCTGTATATCTTCATTTTCAAAGAACAACCTTGCGTAATTAAAAAAAAAAAAAAAGAAAAAAAAAGGAATTATTGAAACTCAGGTTGAAATTATTTCAACGTTTTAACATTTAAATTAATTAGGCTTACTTACTAGAATAATGTACAATGTTTGTTTACTTTTTTTTTTATAAAAGAATGATGGTATCTTGCCTTCCACATTGCGAAACAACTTAATTTATGTATTAATGACATTTTCAGTTTTCTGCGTAAAAAATCTGTTATGAAAATTTATTGTTTTTGTTTACTTAACAGTATCTGTTGCGTAAGGACCGTGGAGAGAAGCGTAGGTTAGTCGCCGAAACTGCAGCAGATGGTATCGACCTTTTTTTTAACAGTATCAGTGAAGCAAAAATTTTGTAAATATTACTTTAACAAAAGATCAAAAATAAATGACTGCCGATTTATTGACACAAAGCTTTCTCATCTGTTTTTTATAATTCTGTTTTGTGGACTCGCTCTGTTTTAAATATCAATAATATTTATCATGTTCGTTGAATTACTGTTATAATGTATCCTAAACCAAAAATTGTTTTTCAAAATCAATGAAATTGAAAGGAAAAAAAAAGAATCAATGTTTTGTCTGTAAGTGGTGATGGGTATCCAAGAAAAAAGAAATTGTCTTTTTATTGACATATATCAATATAGTTCTTAAATATGTCTATTTGAGTATCTGGTTTTTTAAAATCGATAAAATTGAAATGAAAAACAAAAAATAAATAATGAAACAAAAATTAGATTTTTTTGTGGTGATAGATATTGAAAAAACGAAATAAGTAGACCAAGGCTCACAAAAATTGGTCAATGGAGTTCTTAGATAATTTTGACTAATGATACATATACATACACACTCATGCACTCAGATATAAATTTTTGTCAGAATATTATCCTTAGATTCAAAACTACAGAAAACATATTTAAAACATGTTATCTCAATTTGTAGTTTTTCGTCCACTACAAAGTTTTCTCTTGATAAAGCAATCACTTGTGAAATGCTTCGTGCAGACTAATTTTCAGTAGTTTTTTTTTTAAAAAACCACAACTATTTTAAACAACTAAGACTTGCAGTATGACTATTACGGGACTTGGAATGATATTCAAAAATTCACGAAGCTAGAAGCACAGTTGTTAAATAGCCGGGAGTAAATGACTGACACCTTTCAAGTACAAAACTTTGAGCTCCTGATGGAAAGTTGTAACCCTTGGATATTTCACGTCTCTTTGTCCACCGCATTTTCTCCATTTTGTCTCGGTTGCGTAACTCGATACCATCCGCCTTACTTTGTAAGAATTCATGAATAAAATAAAACTTGAAAAACTTTTAAAGTTATGAGCTATAAAAAAAAAAAAAACCTTTCCTCCCTTGATATTGCAAAAGTCTTCAAGCCCAGTAACTTCCCACTCAAACGAGACCCTTCGAACAAAGCACAGGAAATCTTCGCATGAAACATCATACGCACCAGGGACTCGGCAACGTTAGAACCCACTGGTCCCACCACCACTCAAGGGCGAGAGCGATGCGATTCCGGGATGCAACTCCAGCGCGCGCGAGAGTTCAAAATGGTCTCAAGCTGTAGACAGTAGCAGCTGGGTCCGCCCGTTCAAGCGCATAAGTATACGTGCACGGGAGAGAAAGCTCTTTGCGTTTCCGCTTAGGTGGTACACTCTCGTGTCTCTGCATCATGTAACGGGTACCCTTTTAGTGAAACTCTTCCTTGCAACAACACTTTTGCTGATCTCTCTCTCTTTGACTGGTGATTCCACTGCAGAAGGTTTTCGCATAGGGTTAGTTGGGTTTGCGAATGTACTCATAAATGTGAGTAGTTTCAAAACAGTGATGTTACAGCACATGTCCAAATTGTATAAAAAACCAAATTTCGTGTAAAACAGAATTTTAACACATTAGGACTTTTTCGATCACAAATCACATCAATTTTTTCATCCACGCTGTAATATTAGAATTGCAGCCACACGTAGGTTGTCAGCAAATGAAATTAACTTACAGTTTTAAGTTCCGGGTTAACTTTGAAGCAGATGAATGTAGAGTTAAAAAATACAAAGTCATAAATATCATAGACTCATTAGCAATAAAAAACTGTAGATTTGTTTCGTAGCCTAATAAACCGCTTTTTCCGAGCCCTGATCGATCGATGAACCCTAAAAAATGATTCTTTAACAGTTACAAGTATATCATTCAATAAATTTTAAATGCAGCTTGTTATATTTTTTGGATCTCACATTGGACAACTTTTGATAAACATTCAATTCTCCCGATCTGCTTACATATCATGTCCCGTGCCGGTGCGCCTGTTTTTCTTTAACGTTTAACTTTTCGTTTTGCACACGTGCACACAACACATAGGGATGTTCATGTGTTTGTGTCCTTAAAGGATGTATACAAACGTGGTTAAACACACTCGTACATTACACCGGCAGTCGTTGGTGAGACGGTGGGAAGAGCCGAAGTGGTCCCTCGTGTACGTGTACAAACATACAGGTGGTATATGTATCAACGATCGATCGCCCCTATATACAGTGAGAGCGAGGGGAAGATGGTGAGTTGGGGGGTGGGCGCCGGTGTGTACACCTTCGAGCGCTCCAGCCCCACGTTTGTGCGTCTCTGATGCATACGGGTCATTTCGCAAAACCTCGGGTCTCGCATGTGCCAGCTTTCAACAATTACTTGTTGAATGTTTCATGTCCCAACGTTTTTCTAAACTCTGCGAGTTTTCCCTCTTCTCGTATAGGTACAAGACACTTTTTTGCTCTACAGAAATACGAAATATGCGTGGAAAAACATGGAATTCGTCAAAAGTGCCCATCTTGGTCCAATTAAAAAATTAATCATTCGATGGATATGGTGTACATGCAAGTACACTCTTTTCCTTTTTTTTTCTACCGCAACCCTATTCAGATTTTTTTTTTATAACAAAATACACTGGTATCAACAAAAGCGTTCTAAAAATGTCAACAGAGTTTGTCCCAAAAATTTCCAGTTTGTCCAAAACTATGTCCCACCTATTCGTAAAGTTGGACTTTTCGCGCTACCACCCATGTAAAGAAGAGTCTCACTATATACTGGCGATGGTGAAGCAAAGAGTGGGAGGTGATGCGCCCTCGGCCCCCTCCATCCTGGCTTTTCCTTGACTTTTCCCAGCGCGGAGCCGCGCGCAACCGTTCCACTCGAGCACCGACGCGCATATAGACGCACTTATACACACCCCAAATCCACGCTTTGCACCCCCGCGGCGTACACACGTATAGCCACCCCGTAAGCCGTGCAGGGTAGGGGCGAGGGGCGCGTAGCCGCAGTGGGAGAGAGAGGGAGGGTGCGCAGATGTTGGCACACGGAACTGGTCGGCGAGCTCCGGCGCTCAGTCTCTTCTCGCCATTTTCCACGGCCGCATCTTCGTCCTTCTCGTGGAGCTCCCTTCCTTACACCCCCTCCCCCGAAACGTCTCGTCCCTCGCGCGGACCAGCCTAAACCTCGAGACCCGCTATACGCGAATACGTACACCACGCCAGCCTCCTCGAGTCCTTTGCAAACACACGCGCGAGCTTGTCAGTGGAAAAAAAGGACGATTGCGCGGGGGTTATTCGCGTAGCTGACAGGAGGGGCAGCTTGGACACGCGTGCGGGTATGCCTTGAGCGTGTCCGACGTCCATCGGGAAACGGCGCGCGCGTGCTCCTTGGCGATCTGCTTGTGTCTCGCAGCCCTCGGATATGCGTGTGTAGGAAGCACCTTGTGCCTCCGAGTGCGCGTCTTTCGGCAGAAGAACTGGAAACGGGTGGATAAAGAAAAAAAAAAAAAAAAAATCTTCCAGTCGAGGCTGCAACTTACCCGCAGTGGTGCACGCTGCAAGTACCGATGGCACGGGCCCGCGAGGTGACTGCTGCTAGCGCGGCCGCCGCGGCTGCTGCAGCGGCTGATGCTATCGTGGCCTCCTTGAGCGCTGCCGGCCAGTGCAGGGCCAACTACGGCGCTGTCGACCCCACCGCTCCTGCGGCCAAAACTCGCGGGGCGTTCGCCAATGTGAGTATTTTTAGTTATATGTTTTTCAAGAGCTTTCAGGGGTTTTTTTTTTTTTTGAGATTTTCTTTTTTTTTTATAGTCCTTGTTTACCACGTGTTTACCATCTATATGAAAAGAAAGAAAAATAATCGAGCCATTGGTTTAGGAGCATGAGGGGAATCGGGGGACAGATGACCGGACTGTTGAGCACGTGGACGCCTATACTATAGCTTTCGGTAGCAGACAATGTCTTGTGCCCTTTTTTTCTCGATAAAGCTCCATGTATTTTGAATGGGGTTTTAGTCTGGTTGGTCACGAGTTTTACAAACGTGCCAATCAAACTTCAGGGAGCTAGAAGCCGATAGATTTAGTGAATGAACAATCGCATGGAGAATCTTTTTTTTTTTTTCAAATCGATCATAGTTGGTGCATATTGTATTTATCAATCTACAGATGATCGGTATATTTATGTTGTGCACGATGAACGCTAGCAAGTTGCGAACTGGGAATATTCCAAGCCAGCGGAACTGGTGAACGGAAAGTATATCTGGGGGAAGTAACTCGTTCATGTTAGTTTACGAGGTGAGATGGAAGTTTGAATATTTATATGGGATTAGTGTTGATTACCCTAGTTTGTAAACTCCTGTGGGACAGCAAACAAAGTACAAGCAGATCGAGGAGTTGTTTGTATAGGGTCGACTTTAATTTTCATACTAAATTCAAGATGGGATTGGCAAGCAAAAAATGATAGATACTATCAATGACTTGCCAGAAGCTTGTCGGTTTTAATCCTATTGTTACAAACGATAGTAGCGAGGAAAAGAAATTTGATGCCTACCTCACATACCAATTTTTTTGTTAGGGTTTTTATGGAATATGAGTAACAGTGTCAACAGTATGTAAGTATACCTGTAAAAGTCTGTACCAAACACCGTAATACGGAGATATTTATAACTTTTTTTCTTATATAATTTACAGTACGAAATTCCCAGATACTTTTGTGCTGAAATCTATAAATTTTTTAAGTACAAGTACTGTTTGTATTCCAAATCATACTACTTATAAGGTGATGCAGTAATTAAAAGAAAACTGTACGAATCTTATAAGAATGACGATAAGTATTTTAGAAATTAATTTTTTATACAGTTCCTGCAATAAGATTTAATTTATGCCTTTTAATTGAGTTACAGTTTAATATCATTTTTCCAGTTGGTCATGTTATCATTGGACAAAGTATTAAAATCAATAAAATATTCAAGTGATTCTGAGATTTAACGACTAAGGCTTTCTGAATTAATGGTGTATCATTTAATTATCGCTGCATGCACAGTAATTATTTTGTCGCAATTCAAAATTATCTCAGCCAACGTATGCGTTTAAATTAAAACAGCCAAGTGAATAAGAGGTATGAATATTCATGGGTAATTTGTTGAGAAAATGTATATATAATGAGAAGAATTCAATACGGGAAACGTTTTGACTAGAACATAATGTTTGTCTCCATGAATAGTTAATTTAAAACGTGCAGATAATTTTTACTGTCACTGTTAACGTAAAAGTTATGACTATAACTTGCTACGTGTAAGCTATTTCGCGTATTGTTATTAACTACGTGATTTACATACGACAATGTAGATTTTTAGATTTATGTTGCAATGAAAAAAAAGGGATTATCGAATAACTAAAAATATAAGCTCAGTATTATAAAAAGAACTTCCCTAAATCTCAGAGCTACATTTTTTCATTCTGGCAAACTAGTATAGCGAACTGTACCTTTTAATGCTTATGTATTAGAGTGTGCAGATTTGCTACTATTTCTTAAATTATTAAAGATAACATTAATGGAACGTACAACGGTTTTTTTTTAATAATAAACATTAGAGGAAACAAGACGATACTCATACATTATGTTTTTTTAAAAACAAAAAGCAAAATTTTTAATAAACTGTCTAAATAATTTAATAAATCTTGCCTATCGTTAAAAGGTTTTTGGAATTATATTTTACCATAGTATAAGTTAAAGACACTATTAATTGATCACATTACTTCTAAAGAACCCAACATATCAAGTTCAGTTTTCGTAATAATGATAATAATAGTAATAAGAACAGTTATAATAATATTAATAACAATAATAATAACATCAATGATAATAATAGTAGCGTTAGCTCAGTGGTTAGAATGCTAGTTAAAAAGACAATTTAGAATCAGAATGTCAATTGAACTGACAAGGAGTAGATCTGAAAAGATTTTTGTTGGGAATGCATTCCAGGGAAAAGTTACAAAAGCCGAACAGGTAAAAACTAATATAGCATTGGCCACTGCCTTCACACAAAGGTTGTGGAAGATCCTCGCTTCCAAGGCCATAATTAAAAAAAAAAAAAATTTAATAACCTATGTAGGTTTTATTAGTAAGTAGTTACTTAATAAAAATTATGTCAGTAGTATTTTTGAGTATTAAAATGATTATTATAGTGATACTATAGGTCAAATAGCAGGTGGATGCATCTGAAACCGAGTCATACTACATTTGAGACTCAAATATTATGTTATCGATCCGTCTTGGTAAGCAAGTTCTCAGTCCGAGAATTCTTCAATAAGCTAAGAAATAATGCAAAAAACTCCTCAATTTGAGTAACACGCATCAGTCGTTAGCTGTTACAGGAACTAATAAATAAGTATCCTTCAAAGTTAGAATTTGCCACAATTTTGAAGAGTCTAAGGCAATATTTGTTAACATGAGCGTCACTAATCAGTTTCATCAACAGTTCTGGAAATATAAATATGGTACTATCCATTTTTTCTGACGTATCAAAATTTCAAATGAATTTCCAAATATTTATCTCTTAAATATCAAATACACAATCATAAAATTTTATATTTGGAATACAATTTTGGTTTTCAAAGACACCGACTCTACTCCTGGACTTACATGTATGTATCGAACTTTAAAACAATCATTAATACAGGATTATGGAAGTGATACTCGTACACGTGAAGGCATACGTCCAGATCTTCAAAAAATCACGAGACGAAAAAAAAACTAAATTTAAAAAGAATATTTAAGATTCACTAATTACAGTCACAAAATCTAATGTCCTTTTGACATCGGTTGTCTTCAACTTGGTCTATTTCAGACGCAACGTGCTTCTAATACCCTTTATTTTTATTCTGAAAAATATGCCCAATGAAGTTGGACAGATTAAAAAAATTCTGAACGTGTCCCTTTTCAAAAACAAGAGTGGATGCAGAACGTTTCGCATAAACTGAAGCAAGTTAAATACAACTGTAAGCATCTACGAGATGTGGAATTATGATTCTGGTATAGGTGTGGCGTTCGTTACTAATTTTAGATCCTTCTCGTATTTTTTTGAAGATTTTAACATATAATTTACGAAACTGTCCACTGTTCATATGACGTGTGTGATACGTGATATCCACACACGTGCTATCCGTACTTCTACATACAATATATTAAGTAAACATTCGGACCCCATGCCCAGGTACGCGAGCTCAATATACTTGAATCAGATAACGTAGCGTTGTGACTTGCTTGAATAGTCTTTCCTCTTATGTTACTAATTATTGTCATTGCCTTTAAACACACCACGTATATATAGATTAAAACAATTCTATCTCTGACTTTCACACAAACATCTGCGATAAATAAAAAAAAAAGTGTCTGGTTAAACCACGTCAAAAAACACTGACGATGAACTACTGAGTAACTTGAGGTAATGTTAAACTGTTTATTAATGGTAGGCTTTCTAAAATTCCTTCAAGAAATTTAAATTCATGCTTAACATATTGTCTCTCAATTTAGACTGTTGTTCACATTTTTTAAAACGTTTCTGATCAAATTTTTATTCTGATAAACCGAAATATGTGGCATTCACGTCTATTTAAATACGAAATAGTGTTTCAAATTGTAGACACGGAAAAACTTGTCTACTAATCTCTAACAAATGGTTAATTATTTTTCGATGGCTCAATATTTACACAACTAACTGTCAAACATCAAATTACTTGTATAAACAAGTACAACAATAATCTATTCTAACGTAATATAGTCAGCTCTACTGATTCCCAATGTGAAAAGTAGGATATCCGAAAAACCTGTAAATGCATTCAACCACGTCACTTCAATGCCAAAAATCTCGGTATCGCCAACCAACCCGTTTCTCGGTAATACACAAACATTAGCGAATCGATCCATCACCCAATAGTAGAAAAGCAGTGGCCCAGAAAATGTATTGTTATCATCATCAACTCGTCTGGCATAACAAAAGCAAAAGCGTCGGCACAGGCTGTAAAAGACAGCAGGCGGAGTTTCGCGCGTGACCAGGGCTGCATATGGCCCACCCCACCCTATCCCACCTCCCTGTCATTTCCTCCGTCCGAATCTCGGATCGCACCCAAAACGGCGTTTCCAGGCCTCCTGAAAATAGACTTGGCCACGAGCGCGTTTATGGTCAGTGTCGGCTCGATCGATAGATTTTTACAGGCAAGGCATCGTAAAAATATGTACGTTGTATTTACGTGAATGCTGGTTTATTTTCTCTCTAATTTTATTGAGATGCACCGTATATCAGATAACTGTATTGCACAACGATGACTCGTTGGTGTACAGAGCGTGAAGCGAACAAATAATAATCTAAGTATTTAATCTAAGGTTCTATGTCTATCGATCGGTATAGTAATCGAATATATGATTAGGTTGCGTGAATACGTGATGCGTCACCGCTGCCACGCTTCGCCTTAGACCAAGTCGGGCTTCGGGTATCCTATAATCAAATATTCATGTATACAATCATCAATAACACTTTTTTCGTCGAGAAACAGAGAACTGGGGAAAAAACTAAGGTGGCTTGTCACACTATCAACACTATTGATTACGAGCATATCTCAGGTGGCGCTGCCAATGCCGGAGTTCAGTACCAAATTTTACAGTATCAAAGTATTGGATTTCATGGCAACGGTTTTATCTTATTTAATCCAGAATTCTGCTTTTATGTGGTTAT